GAACTCAGTGAAAACGATAAACACAATAAGATCCCAGTAAATGCTGTAAAACCTCACACCAGTTCTCCAGGACTTGTAAAACCCTCAAGCACTTCCTCGTTACTAAAGACTGCAGTGCTTCAGCAGCATGATAAATCAGAAGAGACCACGGGCCCTCACCAGCCCAAGAGCCCTCGCTGCTCCTCCTTTAGCCCCAGGAATGTCAGGCAGGATACTTTTGCTCGGCAGCACAGCACGTACTCACCAAAGGATTCGATGCCCAGTCCATCTCAGAGGTCTCAGTTCTTAGACACTGCACAGGTGCCATCGCCACCACCATCCCTGATGCAACCACCCACACCTCCACTGCCAGCCAAGAGACTGGAGCTCCCCCAGCCCTCGGCCGCCGAGGTCCCGCAGCACTGGCAGGAGCAGCAGGTCCCTCCCGAGGGACACAGGCACCCAGCGGGGACCCTCCACACATCTCCTACCTGCAAGGCTGGCACCCACCCCGGGGAGTCGCTCCTGCCACACGTGGGCTTCCCACAGGACACTTCCAAAATGGACAGTGACGATGCTGCTTCAGGGTCTGACAGTAAAAAGAAGAAAAGGTACCGACCCAGAGACTACACAGTCAACTTGGATGGGCACGTGACAGAAGGGGGTGTGAAACCTGTGAGGTTAAAAGAGAGAAAACTCACTTTTGATCCCATGACAGGACAGATAAAACCTTTAACACCGAAAGATCCTTTGCAGGTAGAAATCCCTGCACTTACTGAACAGCACAGGACAGAAACGGAAAAGCAGGAGCAAAAACCCAACCTGCAAAGCCCTTTTGAACAAACGAACTGGAAAGAGTTATCCAGAAATGAAATCATTCAGTCATATTTAAACAGACAGAGTAGCTTGCTGTCCTCATCAGGAGTACAGACTCCAGGAGCTCACTACTTCATGTCTGAGTATTTAAAGCAGGAGGAAAGCACTAGAAAAGAGGCTAGAAAGACTCACGTTCTAGCTCCTAACAGCAAACCTACAGACTTGCCTGGGGTCACCAGGGAGGTCACGAGCGATGACCTCGACAGGATACGTGACCACAACTGGCCGGGCGTGAACGGTTGTTATGACACACAGGGTAACTGGTATGATTGGACACAGTGCATATCCTTAGATCCACACGGGGATGATGGGAGGTTGAACATCCTGCCTTACGTCTGCCTAGACTGAGAGCAGGTTTTTGCTAAAACCCTGCTTTTTTTTTTTTTAACACCTGCAGTTGGCAAAAACTGGCAGACACGATGCCACTTCCAGCTGGAGAGAGCCTCCTGTCCTGGACAAACAGGCCCCACGAGCAGAGGGGGGGAGGGAGCTGGGCCTTTCCAGCTCGTTCCTTTAAAATTCTCCTTTTGTGAAATGCTGCTACCAGTTTACTAACAATTGCAAAGGAAGGCATACGAAGGTTGATCAGTGAGTTCAAAACTCTATAGCCAGCCAGCTATAAAAAGTGTTAGTTCCCCCAAGAAGTGAAGAGGATTTCCAGCACTTTCTGAATGCCGGAATCTTAGTACAGGCAGGTACAGAGAAAATTGTGGAAGTTACCTTAACAAAATATGCATCTATTTATTTGACTTGATTTGGTTTTTTTTTTATTATTTGGCAGTGAGATATTCGAGAGACAATGTGCAAAAACTGTAGTTTTATTTCTATCACATCTCTGAACATGATTGCGTTGGTCTGAAGTCATGTGGTAAACGGAGATTGGGTTTTAAACAGCAGGTGTTGCACTGCAGGCTGGGCCTCCAGCTTCAGCTCAACATTCCATAGGCATCCACATCCTTTAGTCTGGTTTCAGTTTAAATCCAGTCTCTGAGAAATGCTGCAAAAACTAGATGTTTAACGATATTTTTTGATCCCACCACCACCAGCCAAATATTTTTCCTCCTTTTCCCTTCCTGCAAACTTCTAGGTAAAAAAAAAAAAAAAAAAAAAAAAAAAAAAAAAAAAAAAAAA